TATTACATCCTACTTACCGAAGACATCTTAAATACTGCGCACAAGCGGAGAGTTCTTGCTTCAAGCAAGAAGTAGACACTCAGCAACGGGTAAAAAAGGTAGGTACCAAGCTAGTGACCTCCTCCACGAAAAGCGGTTGAAAAGTTTGAATCCTTCCACAGTAACATCGCAGAAACAGGAAGAACCACACATTAGCGTGTTGCATATTGGATGACAATTCAAGTGTCGATATCTTTAACCTTTGATTCCTTCTAGGACAACCTAAGAGGTCACCACAAAAAGGCTCAAAAACCACGGCCAAATAAACTACAAGCGGAACTTAGGTTCTCTCATAGGGTAGTAGACGGGAACCTGTAGCCGGAAACTGTGTTGGCGGCTCATTCATCGGGCGCCTTCAAAGAGAAATTGGATCTTTATAGAGATTTATACTACTAGGATTAACACAAGCAAATTAGTCGACTATCCTGAAAATTGAGAACTGAAAAGCAAGTTTGGGGTCTCACGAATATGCACTTTTATTATCCTACAATGTCATACTATCTTCCTACGGAAAATCAAGACTTTTGAACACAATTATGCACCTACAGTTTGCAAAACAAAGTAGGAGAAAACATACTGACTAAAAAAATATAAGCCCTTTAACTTAGCATCAATGACTAAACACAATGTACTCACTTTATCCCGAGGTTTCAGCGCGTTCCGACGAAAAAAGCCTTACAGCTTTCGCATGTAAGACGATCAAAATTGTAGCCGGATGCTGGTTCACCACACACAATGCAGACACGTTCTTCCTCACTTATCCAGCTTTCCGTCTCCTAGTCCGTACAACGCCGGAGAGTGAATGTTTTCGGGATCCACTATGAGGAAGTTCATTAAAACTGCTAAGGTAATGACGATCATTTTCCGCAGTGCTACTTTGTGTGTATGGATGGCTGTGTAAATACTCTACCTGGGCTCGATTAAGACAAAGAAAACTCCCAGCCTTTTCTTGGCCAACACTTTCTGCATAACCACCGCCTTGCATTGAATCGTCTAATATCGGGATACCTGTAGAAACACGATACGAAGAATTGCGCAAATCTGCATTAACATTTCCACTACGATAATCGTTGGTGCCAGGATCCATAATTTGGATACCACAATGATTTTACTCTACCAAATCATTTGAACACTTTGATGGAATATTGTAGGCAGAAACGATTTCCTAACAAGCTATTTATTTGTGATACAAGCGAGAAGTCCCATGTTACTGAAAGTGCAAAAATGACCAGCTAAGTACCGCAAATAGTGGAAAAAGGAACCTGCTCCCAGTATTCAATGTCCACGATCCCCGCTATTGTACGAGATTGTATAAACTAGTCGATTTTCATGAGCTAGCCTCCACACTTGTCACGTTCAAAGCAGAAAATCTCCAGGATTTAAGTCCTATGAGTGTTGAAAACATGGTTGTTTAGCTTTTGCGTATATTTCTGAAGCTTTGTCCCTATTAATTGGTTTAACTGCTGTGGCAGGCAAAGAAGTACATCTTGCCTTCCTGCCTTTCGTGAAACGTTTTCTGTTGCTTTACATCAAAACGTTGTGGGTAAGGCTTGTTATAAGGCTTCAAATAACTGGAAATTTGTGGATCTTCTTTTGACGACAGCGTGTTTAAGCACCGATAGGGAATGATACGGTAAACGTTGTAAAATCCATACGAAACGGTCTAGAGGAAGAATTAAAGTAGGCAGAGTAGGCTTAGTTCACCTAATGGAGTTGGAACACAAAGTGGGCACACCAATGAAAACACATGAGTCATCAATAAGAGAAGGAAAGTAGTGAAGCAGTGGGAGGCTAAATAGGCTTTGGTGGTAGCGAGTAGAAAGAAAGCAGTTATCGAGGTCAGAAGCTTTTTGCATACATTGCTGTTAGGCTATTCGAGCCGTCATAGTTGTTCAACCGTCTTCTAGGGGATTCTTTCGAGAATGCTGTAAGTAAGTCCCGTGCAATGAATTCTATAAGTCACACGTTCATGTGGAAAAAAGCTTTTCTTAAGTTTGATAGTACCTTTCTTTTCCCACTGAACCCATGGTCAGATTATTCACTCATTCTCCTGACCGTGATCTGGTATCTAACTCTCCAACTTTGCGTCATATCATACACATCTTACAAGGTGCAGACCAAACATCCTCATGAATAACAGACATCTGACGCTTTCTTCCACACCTTTAAAACGATGGAGTTACTGACCTTCGGTTTTTCGAAAACCTGCTGTCACTTTGCGCACACTCGTCATTATTGGGTTCAGGGAGACAGTAGTGTCGAAGTACAGCCTCGACCCCTTCACCCAAAAGGACAGATGCCATTTAGAGCGCATCCACAATTGATGGACCAGCGTGAGGAACGACAAAGATTGGGACGCAGAAAGGACTGTTTATTATGACATCATGTACCGTACTGATGAAATTGTGCATTTTCCCTAAAGCAGTCATTTCCCCAATGTGCTTCGTTTCCTCTTCTGCTTCTATCCCGATTTGCTCTTAGTACGGCCACATCATCTCTTACGTTTCTCTGGGCAGAATATTCACCCATTGTTGATAATTGTCTACGATATTTTATTTATATCCATTCTTATCAGTATCATCCACTACAGTAGAACGACTAAAGGACCAGGTTAACTCCACAAAGAGAGAGCACCGTAGTAATCAGCCTGTTTGTCTTGGAATGTAAGCGACTTGTGTGTGGCCTCATGGCGACGCACGTTTTTATTACTTAGGACCAACCGCTTCTTCACCTATATAGTGAAAAGCTTAACCGTCATCTCATGTGAAAGCTTCGAGGTTAGGAATCGAATATATTTCGAATGACATTCAGCATAACTTCCATCTCCGAAGAGTTATTAGGGCTTGAGGTGCTCTCCACTGGAGACTTCTCATGCCAAGTTGCTAGTACTTCGAGTGCAGATTACATACCCAATGAAGGTTTGAAAGTGAGATTGCAGACTATGACAAGCTGTCCTTTGTGAACACTGGTTCCCAGATAAATGGCTATGAAGTCCACTTCTTCAAGAAGTGCTGGCCAGGTAAACGGAAGCTTCTTCTGGCCTGCAACCAACCAATTCCATTTGACGCACTATTTTGACAGGGCTTCCTGTGTGATGATCATTGGAGTTCCTTGGTTCGCACAAACGGGCAGTGAGTGATGTTGAACAACCTCAAGTGCCTAGAGCTGTCAGAGTATTTTTTCCAAGTAGTCCAGCAGTCGATTTTGTCCCAGTACTCCATATATCCTCCAGTAAACTGGACTTCTTCCTCGGCATGTGGGTGATACTGCACTGGGTACTCCTAAATCAGAATGGACATTAGCTTTTTAGATTACTTGGAAAGGTTCGGATGCGATAAGACCCAATTACCTTGTTGGGAAATGTGGCATGGCGTCTGTCCTTGATGAGATTCCATGACAGTTAGAATCAGTGTTTAGAATTCCGGGAAAATTCAAGCCTGAATTGCTTTTCGAAGAAACTGACACCGGCCTGAGTCGTCTGCTTGAATAGATGTTCGAACTCGACAATCACTGCATGGTGCATGCTTGCGTTACAATTCTACCACTTTTCACGCTCGAAAGACCACCTGACTGAGAGGTGTGAAATTGCCGAAACTCCCTTCGGATAGCTTTGAAGTTAAATGTCTCTTCAAAGAAAGTTTAAATTATAGGGCCAAAAGTAAAAGATTGAGGGATAAATGAGCCTGTCCTGTCAAGATTCTACCGTAGAACTAGAATATATTCAGCTCTTGCAGTTCAGTGACGCAAATAAAGCTTCGGTTTTCGGCGAGTGCTTTCTCTGAGCTTTAGGTTTTATAAATCTACCCTATTTCCATCCGTATTTCTGTTTTCACTAAGATACTGAAGCCTGATCCCGCCCCCAAATTCGGTTGAATTTACTAACGCCTAGGTTTTACCCCTAGTCGAATTTTCCGGAATATTTCGTATTGATTCCCCCCCTGCCATACGTTTTCACGACAGTAGTCGCCAGACAGTGGGTATTTGCTGGCCTGTTCTGGGTGGTATGCAGTGTGATATCTGTGATAGATGGTTCCTTGGGGCTTGCACAGACTTAACGTAAGCTGAGCGCACTAAACTCAGAAATCCTGGTCGCAAGTAGCACTGCCGCTTGCGTTGGAAGATGTTCTCGATAGCACCATCAGCATACTAACGGATAATACACCGAAAAAAGGGGAGTGGGAAGCTAGAACATGAGAAAGCCGAGCTCAGGAATGAGGGCCTAGCCGTCCGTAAACCGAATAACGGGTGAAATCCTACACGAACAAGGAACCAGTTTGACGGGAGACATGATGGGCCTCAGTGGTGCGATAACATCGACTGCCCTACAATCCTTCAGTAGAATTTTACCGTTAATATATAGGGCACATTGAGTGAGGTTGGTCAAGATGGAGAATGGAAAGAGAGATAGTTTTCAGCTCCAGTCAAACCCAATGGGTTCGAGAAGGCAAGAAGCACTGGGAACGAGCTTGGACAGGATAATACGGGAGCAAAGAAGACCGAAACCAAGTCTGCAAGGAATTCGAATCGCCAGCAAACCACGCGAGTCACTTGTAGTCTTGCCAAGTGAGTAAATGAGTTACTTATAAAAGAGGCCAGGGCAAAAGGGAGAGGTAAAGCCAAACAAAAATGCTCAGAAGTTTGCGAAACAAATCGCTGCCCAAAATGACTCTGATTACGGCGAACCTACGGGTATACCTGATCTCTCACACAGCCATATAAATAAGAACTACAGGATCCTGTTGGAGAAGACATGAAGCAAAACTAGTCTGGACTACATTAGGTTAATAGCTGCAACTGGGCTTTCATCTGGTCTCAATCCAATAAAATAAAGGTTAGCCCCAACTCTAAAAATTGACATTCTGTAGTTCAGATGATGTGGAGAATGTTCTGTCGGCACCTCGCAGGCTAAAAGCTCTAGGAGAAGTAAAAGTGAAACAAGGTACACCCTACACCAAGAGAATGGCCGTAAAAAAACTCTCAGGCCACAGCCGCTAGGAGTACTTTGGGGAAAGTAGCCTGAAAGTGTGGGGCATACCTGAAAACCCAGGCACCGAAGACATCTACCACGATTACAGCACGTGGACGTTCCCCTCCATGAACCTTAAAGAAATAATAACATTCAGCCTTTCAGGGATGTTGGAAATGATGATGACCCTAAACCAAGGATGATCGAGGTGGCCTTTCCGGTCTCTCGAACGGCAGCATCTAAGCTTGAGCAACTCTTGGCGAACAGAAGTCGCCTGCCACCCAGACTCTGCATGCAGCCTGACAGGTCGCGGAATGAGCGGCCGCAATAAGAGCAGTAAAACTGCAGCAAAAATAGGGAGAGGTGGCCGCAAACCTACACTAGTGAGCCGCAACTAGGCAGACTTCGGGCCTTCACACCGGGGATCTAGCCAGCCAACTTGCCAATGAAAAGGGTTCAGGAGTGGAGTTTAAAGTAGATAGCGTAAACTCACCTGTGCAGATATACAAAGTCTATTGAATAAATTCGATGAACTGCGAGAACTAGATGAAGAGACTTATGCCCATCTAATCAACGTAACTGAAACTTAGGTGAGGAGGTGGACTAACGCCTTATGTTAGCCCTTCGCTTACAGCTCACCAAATCCACATCCAATGATTGAACCGTCTCGATGGGTCTATCTGATGATCATTAAAGCCGTCCAAGGCTCAAAGGTGCTTGGTGGGAGTCATTTATCGGAAGCCATCCGCCGACGTTAAGTTTCATGATCAAGTGCCAGAGGCAGCCAATTGTTCTCTTGAACTGGGACACAGTAATTCTAAGAGACTGTAATCTACCGAAAGTTAACTTTACGAAGTAATGACCCTACTGAAACCTGATCCTCAAACCCGACTGATGAACTGGGGCCCATAAAAAATGTGATATCAGTTACACGATGGAGAGAAACTCAGCCGCCATCCACCTAGATTGGATCTTCACCAATCAAGCATTTTGATCAGCTATCTAGCCAGCCTTCCTTCTTTGGGCATAAGTGACCGCGTTGCCATCAACTTGGAGTATGTCTGTGAAATCTGTCTAACCAGGCCTGTCAGATGCCTGAACCCTCTGGCTCTTCGGGCGGCACTGGAACAGACAGATTGAGAGGTTGTCCATGTGTGGCAAGGTAGGAACGTCAATTGGGGAGTCGTACTTGACAAAATTATGCATGTCACCCGCCAGTCTGTTCCGCTTTCGACGCTGTAGTGCTCCAAGTAATCCAAGTTTACGAGGAGTTCCACTGAAAAACCTCCTAGGTTAAAACGACACCAATGCTCCAAACA